AGACAAACCATTATTAGTAGACATTCGATCTAGTTATATCAAAGACTTAATTTCAATAAAATAGTTCGTAAGAGTTCAAAGTCCCACGGTACAATTCAATGTGACATAATCATGTGAAAGTATTAGGACTTGAGCAATTTGTACCCAGTCATTTTCTAAAAGTGGTTCAATTTTCTGCCCCAATAAGATAACAGAATTTAATTTATGAACCAATTATCTCGATACATATTTCCCATCGTCACTTTAATGACCAATTATAATTTTAAAGTGATCAAGCAATGTTTCTAAACACCTACTTATATAGAAAGAGATATAGAATTTTAAAGATTTTTCCTAAATTACTTCTTTAACGTAGGAATTAGACCGAAAAAGTTTTTATATATTTAACTATACTCAGTTTAAAGTTGGTATGTCTGATTTTCTTCTATTATTAAAGACTAGCTGTCGCCCGCGACTCTGTTCGCGTCGAACAATTTTATTATTCACTGAATGTTTTAACAAGCTTTGTTACACGTTACTTTTTATATTTATTACAAAACTAGCTGTCGCCCGCGACCTCGTCCGCGCGGAATTAAAAAAAAAACTTAATAAGTAGTCTACGTGTTCTTCCAGACTATGTTCTACAACTGTGCAAAATTTCATCAAGATCCGTTGAGTCGTTCTGGATATACCTTCAAACATCCATTGATCTATCCAAACATTTCTATTTATAATATTAGTAAGATAAGTTCCAATTTAATAATAAAGCATACAAAGCTTTGTACGTATTTTTAAATTGGAAAAAGATTTTTATACAAACAACTCGTATTTATAAATTTCTCTTGAGTGTATTCACTTAGTCAGTGAATTGTAAGGTGCCTATAAACTATAAAGAAACGGCTTATAATTTTAACAACAGTCCGCTATAACTTCACAAGTAACGAGATTAACTTTTGCTCTGCATTACTTCGCTAAAAAGCTGTTTTCAATTAATTGAGTTACCCTTTTTAGATAAGATAATAACTTATTTACATAGACGGAAAGTAGAGCAGACTTTATTATTGCTTATAAACTTTCTAGAGCGAAATTAATATTAAATTATAATACAAAGAACTTCAGGTACGATGGATAAACATCTTAGATTTCCGTTTAAAAAGTAACGAATAATGTTTTAAGCTAGAATGAATCGATCTTTTCCGCAAGTCATTTGTTTTTTGACTTTCATTAGCAGGAAGTGGTGCCCCCATTTTTGTAAGAAACTCGTCACTCGTCCGACTAAAGAAACACAATAATATTTTGATATTTTTGTACTTCACGTATGTATTTGTATTACAACGTTTTTGTAAAAATGAAACAAATAAGTCATACGAACAATACAACTAAACTATCCATTTCGTAACATTAACAACTAATAATTTTTGAAAACAACTAAAAACTTAAAACAAAAGACACAATATAGAAAGAATAAGTAACCGGCCAGCAACACATTTTAGCCTTAAACAAACCTATTTCGTAAAACCTCTTTTGATAATTTAATACCGCTACAGTATACCGATTCATGACTTCTACTTCTGAGGTCACATTAGTCCTGTTAATACTTGCTTTGAATATCTAAAGTGAAAGCCTATTCACTTATTTACTTAACATAATGAAATCGCTCCTGAAACTACGTTCCAATGTAAAGCTTTTATCTAAGACATTGCAATTCGCGTCAATATCGAGACGTGATGTTTAATTGCCCGGTGTATCGTAAAGGAAACTGTTGCTGATACTAAAGTGAGATAAAGGCGCGGTGCATTTACATGTAATCTAGTTCATTTTAATCTGCAGCCATTCACTTCCAAGCTGTTTCGTTATAATGGAGACACGACGTGCGACCACGTCTACATTTTATTGTTTTCCAAACGCAACTGTGTACTGCCAACCTTAATGAAATACAGATTAAGTAATGATATAATAAAAAACTAGAAACACCAGTACAGGCCTTGATAAAGTACTAAACGTCAGTTACTATGGTGCGACAAGATTATCTGTATCGGTAAGAGAGGCGCTGCTATCGCGCTTAGTTCTGTCAGATTACAGTAAAACCTTCATAGCATGCACAGAAAATGACATAAAAGAAAAAAACATAAAAAGACAGCTACGGTAGAACAAGGATCTTGTGATACTTTTTTGACGTTGACAGCTGCGCGCTAGTGAGCTATAATTTAGTTTGACTTTTGCCCACCGGTTTATCGGTCTATAACAATCTAACCCTTCAACAATTTTTGACTACAACTGCCATACATATTTTTATGATAAAAAAAATAAAACTGTATTATTCCCTTGACTCCCGTTGGTAGAGAGACTTAGCCATGTAGTGTGTGCTGCGGGTCCCTCATTGCATATGAACCAGTTTGTCGAGTACGTTCCGCGCCTTCTTGTCTCATTACAATTGTTTTGCCACTCATTTATTATGGAATAAATAGGCGATAATGAGAAAAGCAGTCCTATTCAGTTGACTTTGTAACTATCGTTAATTTAATTGAATGCGTTGAGACACGGAGTGTCAATAAAAACGAGAAGATGCGCCTCAGTTACGAGTCTGTTCTCTTAATCCAGAATTATTGATTTGCTAATAAACTAAACGATAGTATTAGATAGATTCGTTAATAATACGATATGACGACCGAAACTAAAAAACTGCACTGACTAATAACGTTATTTAAAAACTTCTAACTTCGATAGTTCGATTGCTTAAAGCACTGCGTGTATTTCGACCAGTAGTAGGACATTGTGAATGTCAAAAGTAACTGATATGTTTAGATATATTACACTATGTTTCCAATAAAAGATAGCTTCCAAAAGACATTCAAAGAATTCAGTTATATTGATTCAGAAATCTACAGGGGGTTCATCTTGTTATAGCTACAGGGGGTTCATCCTGTTATATCTTTATTGCTTCATCTTTATAGCAAAGATTTTCAGTGAAACTAGAGTGGGATAACCGTGGCGTTTGATAGAGAGTCTTTGGAATCCCGCTTGACAGGCACCGGCTTTCGAATATCGCGTGAAGATATTTCTGTGTGGTTATTGTTAACCAGTTTATGGCATACGCATTTCTTGTTCAAGTAGCACCAACTATTATTTATACAAATACTAGCTGTCGCCCGCGATTCCGTCCGCGTGTTTGTTTAAAAAATAAAATAAAAATTAGGGGCTACACTTAACATTTAGGGGGATGAAAAATAGATGTTGGCCGATTCTCAGATCTACTCAATATGCTCACAAAATTTCATGAGAATCGGTCAAGCCGTTTCGGAGGAATATGGGAACGATAATTGTGGCACGAGAATTTTATTTGTAAGATTTATCGAACATCCATCTTGATATAGCCAATAGTCGGTTTGAAATATAATTTTTATATTATTGATGCAAAAAAAGTATTCCATATGTGTTAAATGATTTTTTGCATTAAAGAAGTGCCTAACATGTTCCGTTGTAGAATCAAAGAATTTAATTCCCTTCTTAATAAGGTCGAATATCACACAGCAAATAATCACATCCAGAGCTATAATTTAGTACGTATATTACAAGTTTTTAACCTAATTGCATTGTTACCGTCAAACAATATTCCATCGTAATGGGTAGGAGATTAACGTCCTCGACTGTATCATGGTCGTATATATATGGTATTTGTAAGCGTACATTTGTTTGCGTTACGTCATTAAAAAAATAATGAAACAACCAAAAATACTGCAACTGTAAACTTAATGGACAGATTTATGTCTATAGGTGAAGCAGGAAAATTCCGAAGACCAGTCGATAAAGCAGCGGGGTGTCCATGCAGGTGAGACTGCTGAGATGCTGTATAAACATTACATTAGACAAATTCTTTTAAAACCGTCCTAATATAAAGATTAAACCATACATACTAAAAAACAATAAGTACTTCATAAGAGGAAAAAGGAATTGTAGAAATTAAAACATTCGTGATAAAAATTATGTAAAAACTAGCTGCCGCTCGCGAATCTGTCCAGAATATTTTCTATTATTAAGCCAAAATTTTGCTACATCCATCTTTGAAATCATATTACTGGTTGATCTTTGATCTACTACATAAAAAAAACAACACAATACGTTCAAAAATCGAATCGCTTACACAATTTAGAGTCCAGCACTAACCTATGCTATCCTAGTACCGTTGACATTTTCCATCTGTACGTCCGCCAGTCTATTGTCAGCTTAATTAGCTAACAACGGCAGTAATTAAAGACTACATCCATCAGAGTTGACTTAGCGGAGAGTAGTTGATTCCTTAACAACTCAGACTTATAGAGGTTCGACCAATTTACATGGAGAAAGCTTTCGTAATTAATTAATTATAGGTAAGTTAAAAAACTTGAGCAATAACAATATGACGTAGTTTTCAAAATCTGTACCACTGCTGAAATACTTGAATTAAAAAATATTCCTATCTCTGTCTTTTAATACAGAATGAGAGGAACGACAGTATGTTTAATGCATGTGTTTTGGCAGTGGAAATACCAGCTACATTTGAGACTGGTGAAATAGAAAGTCTTACAGGATTTGTATGAGATAAAGTTATACAGAGCGCTTTCGCTCCAAATCGACCAATGACCTAAAGAAGGTAACAAGTTAAATTTTAACGAAAAGGCTTACAGATCTAGCTTTAAGTGTAGATATTGGCAATTTTATGTGTACATTTTTTTTTCTAAGTACAATTTATAATCCGATGTGATTACAATAACATTCACACTTAAGTAAAGATAAAAGCTTAAGTACGCAGTTATCAGGACACTAAAGTCTAAAGTTGAATTGAAGTAGGAATATTTCAAAGTTTTAAATTCAAGTCTCCTTTGATGATCTCGTATGATAAATACAAAAATTTAAAAGCTTTTGTAAGTAAATATAACAGCAAATGTTTAAAAAACGTGTCTTGTCATCGATAACCTACAAAAAATATCGAAAAGATATTTTATAAAAAAAAAAAGTTTTATATTTTTCTCTAACAACCTTACCTATTTCGTACTCCACTTTTTCCTGACAGATTTCACGTAGAAAATATTCTTGCACATTTTTCACCTCCAAAGCATTCCTTCCATATCCAGCACTGAATTAACGAACAGCATATAAAACCTCACCTCACGAAACAACCATAGTTTCACTTTAACCAACACAAGCTTGATGAAACCTTACTTTTGTAACTTAACCAGAATTTACACGTCGATACCGATGTATGACAAAGTACATGGAAACAGTGACAACTCGCGGCAACCACTTCCAAATAGTTTTTTGTCGAGTCAAATTCCAACAACACAACGAAACAACTCCGAGACACTTTTTAATAACGTGTTTTTGACATTTTGATACACAAATCAATATATTTGACGCGCAAAGTTACAAAAGGGTCGCTATAAAGCGTTTGATGACCCTAAAAGTTGCTTTACAACTGAGACTTGAATGCAAAACGCACAGTTTCTCCTGCGCCGGCGCTCGGTATGCGCCCGCACATGTTTGAGTGCGCGCTTACAAGCCTTACGCACACATACAGCGACGCAGGCTGCACGGTTTTTGTCGATGTCCACAGGGCAAGTAACCTTAAAACCAATGTCTTGTAACTTGAAAAGCTACAATAAGTGTTACTTTCTTCGTATTGCACTGATACTAAATATTCAAAGCATTATATTGATGAACTTGTGACGATTATATAATAAATTTTATTTTTAAGCATTGATTTTAACATATTGTAAAACTAGTATATAACAGAATTTAAACACCATATGTATGCCAAATGGCTCTAAAAATGAAATAAATGGCAATTAAGGTAAACGTTTAATTTTATTTTCGAGTTGCAAAGCTTTGACATGCAATCGAAGTTTTTTCTGAAAGCTGCTGGTCGATGTCCCGCTAGCGAGACTCAAACGCTTAGTGCTCTATCCCTTTCTAACAAACTTTCCACCGTACAAAGGAAGAGGATAGATGTATTTTTGTTAATATTTTATGAATTTGCAGAACTTGAAGTGGCTTTACTCAGACATTATTAACGATCAAAATTACGGACGTGTAAGTAAAAACCGACTTATTTAAAATGAAGTTTCTTCCAAAAGTTCTATAGAAATCTAACGTACACTTTCCGTTGTTGGATTAACGATGTTACCATTTCGTTTGTTATGTAGGAATAATGGGTTGATTGGTTAAAATATAATGCTAGTAATGTATTTATAGCAATTAGAGATATTAATCTTAATATTTTAAACATGTAACTCGATATATTCAGACTTGGAAATAAAAAAAAACATAAAATGAAGTATAACGTAATTCATCACTCTAACTATTTTTACCAAAGTTCAAAATTCGAAAATCAAATGTAACATTCCATTTCTCTTTCTTAAACATTTCGGATTAGATGTATAGTAAAAAATACGTTTTTTAATCGTAGGTTAACCTAATATTAGACTTTAAGGTTGAAAACTTCTATAGACTTTCATCAGTATCCAAAACTTTATCTACTTATTAGAAAGTACAGGCTGAAAATTATCTCTTAAAAAACATTGGATTACAAAATTATAAATAAAAAATCTTATTCATTCATAAAATAATGACATTCAACGAAATATTAATTTAAACCAAGAGCGATCATTTTGAAGTTGTAGAGTTATATAATGGCAGACATCTGAGCAATAAGAGCTTGTCCCACAGAAACACTGTAATTTACTAAACTGATGATTTAAATAAAAACACTTGTGTAACAATAAACATAATTGTTAAGTATCTTTTATTTGGAACATTAAAACACGACGCCCCGACATCGAAACATGCTCCAATAATGTATACAAATATTTTTATTAAATCAAACCAGTTAATTTTAATGTTGAATGATTTTAGTGAAACAAACGCAAGAAATTACGTAATCAATTGAACCTATATTTCGAATTTAACATGAAAATTATTTACATATATTATCTTACTAGTATTATAAATGCGAATGTTTAGGTGGATGCATGGATGTTTGTTACGGCCGGCTACATGGATATCGATGTCATTTAGACGTAGAAGAAGTCTAGAAGAACACATAGGCTACTAATTAAGTCTTTTTAATTCCGCGCGGACACAATCGCGGGCGACAGCTAGTTTTGTAATAAATATAAAAAAGTAAAGTGCAACAAATCTTGTTAAAACATTCAGTGAATAATAAAATTGTAAAGTATGAGACATTCCTTAAATCTGTCCATCTCTTTTATTAATGCACAAATCCTGTTGTAAGTAAGGGACAGCGTTATCGAAGGAAGTACGCTCTTATCGTTCATTCCAGGAATAACTTTCCCATAGACTGTGATGGTAGATGGGTTATTCGGAATGCAAAAAGTAAGCCGAACTAATGCCTTACTTTGTGGTTTTGACATTAGCTTTGAGTGCATAAATGCCACTACATATCGTTGGAACTATTATGCATAAACGATTACTTAGCAGCTTCTCTGATTATGATAAAATAGATAAATTGAATTAGATCACACCTGTGTTCAATAGTTGTAGACAGAGATGTTTATCGCTCATAATTTTACCTAATATTTACTTTTCTATAATACATTCATATAACTCATACGCAGGGTGATTGCTATAATTAATTATCCATTTCAATTTTCTGCAATACTGTCTGTTATTTGATATCATTAACAATTTCGCTGCGACTGAATCATGAATTTGTTTATGAAGACCAATATACAACGAACCTACAGCTGTTCCTTTTAAATGCAAGGGAGCTTTTGTGTGTCCATACTCAGAATTCTTGTAGAGTAATATTGCATTTATTTTATAACAAAATCTTATTTGATTAGAAAATAAACAAAAGTAAAGTATGCATGAAATGTTATCTCCTATTGAACGTTGAATTTTTGAATTAAAAGCTTTCCCTGATTTCAATTTAATTGCCCAACGAAATCCTGTAAGCGAACGCAAACAAAACCCATAATTCAAACTGCCTAATCGCCATTTTTATTTCGAACTAAACGTGATCGGGTTTTAAAAGTTATCGGCCACTTACGAAAGTGGCGCGAATCACCATAAAAATCGCAAACAACTCTGTGCCGAAGGAACATCCGCCAACGTTCCAGCCGTGTTACATTACGAGGCAACATAACAGCGACGAGACGCGCACGATATGGGGCGCTTACGGATACCGCAATCAAAGCAAAATTACACCTCAAACGCAAATGGTATTTCACCTATCGATTGTGAACTTTGCTAATTTAGAATCGGTCCAAACTTATCACTGTCAGAAAAATTTTAACTGTTGAAGTAAAATAGTCAAATTATGGAGTTGATATATGTATGTAATAAACTAAGAATGAATAATAACAAAAGTTAATAAAAGAAAAAATAATTTGTTGCGTTTAATACATACTACAAATTGTAAATGACTCAAGGTTTAGACTATTTCTAGTGCGATAATAAACTAACGAAATTCGCAATCAATCGGTGACGATACATCTGTGGATCAGGGAAACAAAGTCGTGCGAATCTGCATCTATAAACGGTTGAATGTCTGACACCGGAATATCTTTGATATTGATGTTTGTTTATCATGATAAACGTGAAATGTCTAGAAGCTTTATTTGATTTAAAATATAATTGCAAGATATAGTATTTTTAATAGTACACGGTTTCGAGGTTATAAATTCGACGTTCACATTAAGACTGTCATATTTAAATTTAATCGTTACTTAAACAGACCCTTAAGCAATTTATTATTGAAATAAAACAAATGAAAGCTGTTGTCAGAGGTTGACATATTTCATTCGTTTGATTTATTAATTTTATGACGTCACCAAAAAACTAATCTTGTGGATTCCTTTAGAGTACCCGCATTTGGTATCAGCTGACATCATCTTATCTAAGTCATGTAAGCTCCTAGCCTTTGTTATGATAGTTTGATGTTATCGCGCCCGTTTAAACGTTTAATATTCGAACATCGGATTTATGGTTTAGTGAACATAAGTTCGATTCATAAATGATTTTTTTACTGGCTTTAAAATTTTATATTATATTATATTTTAATGCATACTATCGCTTATTGATATCGGGGTTTATTTGACAATTAACGAAAAAAAAAGGTGGTTACAATTACATAAATGCATAATTGTAAAATCAATTTAATTTGTAAAAGTTAGCACTAATTTTTATTATAATAAAAACTGATAAGAATGTTCTGAGATATTGTACAACGTTACCATGTCGTATGTTTGTAAAGAACCTTATTGGCGCGTCGTATGTGACGTATATCGGCACGCCGAGGGCCAGGATTCAATCATTAACCTAATTAAAACATTCCCCCGGCCCCGATTATCAGGCGGCATCCGATGCCGATACATAACTCCGAGCAGCAACGAGATAAATCGCCTGATAGATATGTTTAATTTCAATTAGTTATTGAGATCTTATCAACAACTTGACTATTTGTATATATGTTGGTATTTTCAATATAGTTTCGTCTAGACGACTTTGTAAAGTAGCGCCTAATTAAAAAATCACTTTTAAAATCACTGTCGCAACTTTCAAGATAACAATCTACAGTTTTATAGGAAAATCTTCAAAGAGAATTCTTATTAGATGTCTTTATCCATTCCAAGTATCCTTAGAAAGTCCATACTTCACATACATATATGTTAAGATAAACTTTGATTTTTTTTCTGCTTTTTACATAAAAAAACAAACTTTAAAACTTGCAGACTCCATAACTACTACATAAACTACCCAAAGTGATTAAAATCAAAATTTACAGGAGAGTAGTTTTAACCTTGCCTTAAGTTTCACCTTCGACCACATTTTTGCTTTTTTATATTATATAATACAAATTAAACAGCCCCATTGTGATAATTGGAAAAAGGCTTAAGCGGCAGTTACGCCCTAGCATAGGAGTCGTAAAAATAACATATTATTACTTTACATTTCCACGAAAACATTGTAATACAAACAGGAAAACGGCTAATTAACGTTACACAACTATTGTTTTGTGTTAAGAACTGAACCGCAACCGTCACAGTAGCTAATTACAACTATCAAACCGTGCGGTCGCAGGCTATGTTGACTTCCTGCTTAACTTATCTTTATTTAACTAGTTTGTATTACATAGATGAAAATGTTAAAACTCTGAAGCCTTCCATTAAGATGTCTGCAACACATTGTCTAACAAGCCATCCAGAACACTATATAAGCACATTTTGCATAAATACATGTAATATTATAGTTTATTGAGTTCAAATAAAAAAATTAAAAATCTTTGTTTTAAAAAGCACCTAATAGAAGGTGCTGTTTTATCCCTTAGAGCCTCAATCAGCTAGGTTTTTTTTTGAAGTTAGGTTTTGTATGAAAATGAACACGCCAAGCGATTCGGTGTCACTGACAGTGTAAATAGTAGGTTCTACAATTGATACCGTAAAGTATTTATGCTGCAAAGTGGTTAAATGCAGATTAAAAAAAAATACAC